TTATCTATCGCTTTAAGCCTTCTTATTCGATTGTCTTCTTTATCTTGACGCACATTCGACTTGGTTGTCATAATCTGCTTCTCTCATGTGCTCTTGTCAGTTTGTGGAAGGTTAACCATAGCATCATCTTTGGCCCTTACTAGTTAGGTTGTACTATTTAGTTTTCTGGCTGATCATTATCCCCTTAAATCATTCTACTTTGCCACGGAACGTCAACAACAAACATATATTAACCTGCATTCAGGTGCTTATAATGAGCCTATTTATTTATTTATTTATTTATTTATCCACTTGGGACTAAATTGTTGTTTATTCTCATTATTCTCATTTTTAAGTCAAGGATATCGAACTATAACACAAAGAGGGGGGAGAAGAGTAGGGCTATAAAATCCCCAAACACTCAACTGTAACTGCCAGATGACCTCAGTTTCAAGGAGCCCAATTTGTACTGAGGACGAATAGGTTTTTAGCGTTTATTAATATATTTTGTTCATTTTTCTCTCATATTACCTTTCTACATTTCTTTTTCACTTCTCAATGACAACAGGTAAATCGCCTGGCCACCACCTCAGCCTTCTCACGTATTTTTCGCCGGATCCCTTCTCCAAGTTCCGTCTTTATTTCGTCGCCCACTACTGCCATCTTGCATACTGTCAACCAGGACTATCGAATGACTCTTCAACCCTTGTCTCTTGACACCAAGACAGGATCAGGCTTGCATGGGGCTGCTGCCAATGGCATAGTAGTTGGATCCTCTTGGCAGGCTGAGCCTGATGCAGAACATGTCCAAAAATCTGCTTTAACTGACCACCTGATCACCTCACAGTCGAAGAGTCGGCCGGTTGTTGGAGATTTTGAGCGAGCCAAATCAGACAATGAAACAAACAGACGGCAGAATTCATCCCCAAGTCTGTTGTACAACAGCCCCGAGAAATTGTGTCCATCTGCAAGCAAAGGTGATGAGTCCAGAGTCAAAGAGAGCGAGAGACAAGAGAACATTAAGGATGATATAAGAGCTGAGTCTGATGAGCAGAGCCTATTAAATGGAGAATCAGTTGGCCTGGACGTTATTGGGTCTTCTGAGCTCTCGGCGGCTTCCGATTGTCACGAGGATGCACTTGCTGTTATGGCATTGGAAAAAAGAAAACGGAAGCGAGAAGAGCAACACGAAGAGGCCTCTGGGACTAGGTGAGCCCAAGTTTTTCTATGTGCATCTATCTTTACTCGGATCCAAAATGATAGAAATTCTTTGTGGTCCAGCACTAAGGTTGATTAAGGTGGTTCAACATTTTTTTCAGTCAGCTACTCACCGAGTTGAATGATAATTACCGCCGAATAGTCTAGAAAGTTTTCTAAAACCATTCACGTGTATCCTCAAGCTGGAGTCTCATGTTGATAATTTATTTCTTGTCGCCAATATCGACATTTAATGTGTATCTGTATGGCTTTTTTGTAGCATTTGGTCACAGAAAGTTGTTCTTGCCTTTAAACACGCAATCGTTGGGCTTTGGGTTCGGAAATGTGGGAAAGGCCTCTGTTTTCCTTTGATTTTATCTCTCCTAAAAGGCTTTCTCATTAGGGCCATGCTTTTATTCCCACTTAAATTGCGATTGATTCTATCCTGAATTGCGAGGCCACATATTTCGGATACCACTGGCTCACAACATTGACATGCAGCACCAAAACGTGTAAATGTGGAGATTTATGACTGGATTCATACGCTACTTACATCTCATCAGTAATGCAGCTTCTTCAAATGAAAAATATGGATTCCTTTTTAAGGGTCTTTTCCTAAAGGCAAAACAGTGAAGCAGTGATCAATTTCGATTTTTATTCTCGAAATTAATTAAAAATTTTGATTTTGATGATGGTGCATAAGCTATTTGTATGCAAAAAAGAAAGAAGAATATAGAATAGATAATGGGTCAAAAACGCATCCTTATCTGCATTTGTTTTGTCTATCAAAATGACTTTCTTGTTGCTAATACAAACCCATCTTGAGAGTCAGATGGTGTGGCAGAATTTTAGCGTGCATGTTGTCCAGACCTATTTAATGTGCAAGTATGTGATAAAGAGATTCCTAGGTCGATCTCATCAGAAGTTGACATCACCAGAGCGAGAAAACATACTTTACGAAAAAAATATACCGAATACAATAAACTTATTTGTATTTTATTGATGCTTTTTTTCGTAAACTTTGGTTTCCTGCTCTGATAATGTCGGTTATATGATTAACGCAAGCTTAGCATGGTCGCAGGACTGAGATCTGATGACTACTTTTTACA